CCACATGCTTGAGGGCAGAGGCTAGGCCTCTTTTCCTATAGCTGAGGACGGAATGGGGTCCCACATAAGACCATACACTGCCATGTGCAGAAGTGAGTGCAGATGCGAGCACATGCATGCACACAGGGGATGCACATGTGCCTGCTGAATACATGTGTGCAAATAGATATGAACGCACGTGTATAAGCACATGGCTACATAACGTGGGGGCAGGAGTGTACATTTGTTTATTCGTGTGTAGATCTGTGGACACATGCACGTATATATACATGTATACCTGCGGGGACACAGTGTGTGTGCAGATGTAAATACAAGAATGTACACACACGCGCCTGCATGTGCACATACGATGCGCCTGTATACAAGTGGGGGCCTGATTATATCTGTTTATCCATGTGAATATAGATGCGAGTGAGTAGAATTCGGGCAACAGCATGTATGTGTGTAGGTGTGCTCATCTGTAGGTGGACACATGCAGGGGTGGTGTGTTTTCTGATGTGCATCTACACATGTGTATGTGTTCATGTATATACTATATGCATGTATTAAGTTCATCTGTATGAAACAGAAATGATAGAATATTGTCAATTTCCTATGGTTCAACATGATATGTTGCAAATATTAATTTAATACATATTTGAAGCAATTTATAGTAAAAGACATATTTCTACTGGGAACAGTAACATAAAAGCAAACTTAAAACGACACTGGTGTCTACTCCTGGAATGTACCGAAGAGAAATGACAAACGTGTCCACACAGAAACTTGTATACAATGATGGATGTTAACTAAACTTATAGCGGTAAGCATTTCACAATATACGTAAGTCAAACCATTATGCTGTTTACCTTAAACTTATACAGTGATGTATGTCAATTATATCTCAATAAAACTGGGAAAAAAAACCCAAAAACTTATAAACAACTGTTAATAACAGCATTATCTATAACAGCTAAAAAGTAGAAAAAAAAACAAATATTCACTACCTGATGAATACATAAATTACAGGTGGTATATCCATATATCACATGTCCAGAATGGGCATATCTATACAGACTGGATGCAGAAAGTGTGGGGGGTAAATGGAGATTACTGCCAAAGGGTATGGGGTATGGGGCTCCTTTTTGGGGTGATGAATATGTTCTAAAATTGTGATGTCTGCACAAATCTGTGACTATATTAAAAACCACTGAATTGTGAGTTGTACGGTATGCGATTTGTCTCTCAGTCAGGCTGTTAGCCATCCCAAAACGCCCCATATACTAGGGATGAGAGAGGTAGTCCCCTAGGTCACCCAGCCACCCCGCCGCTCTGTCCCCTGCCCTCATGCCCACAGCCCCCTCACTCACATGACTCTCCCATGGAAGTAACTGTGGAAACAGTCAGACTCGTGCCCCTGCACCTCTCAGTGATGCACTGTGGTGTCACCCAGCACCTCCTGTAGCTGCTGTATAAAGGTGCCGGCCGCATCCTGCGCCTCAGCATCCGCCGTCTTTCCAATCCAGTAGTGCAGGTCGCTGGAAGCCCCCTGCGTGGCCTTCAGGCTCGGGGGGAACTAGAGCCCAGGTGTTTATGTATGTGTGGGGGGGGGGACCAAGGTGTGTGTGGAGATCAAGGTCAAGGTTGAGGATGTGCTGAGGGTCTTAGGGAGACTGGGCAGGAGATCTAGAAGGGAGAGGGAAGGGCTGAGAGGTCTCACGGGCAGCAGCCCCCTGTGGGATGGGATTCTTGGGCTCCCAGCCTGCTTCGTTCAGGATGGAGCTTACTCTGCACCATCAGACTGCCCCGCTGGGCCATGCCACCCCCTCAGACAGACGCCTTAATGCTCACGTGAAGGATGATGTAGCAGTGTTCCTCGAAGAAGTTCCCATAAGCCCTCTTGGGTACTGGCACCATCTTCAGGTTCTGGGAGAGGCAGGTGCCTAGTGACAACTCAGGGGACCCACCCTCACCCATGCACACCCGTGATCCTCTGGGGTGGGGGGAGGGAGCTCTGAGTTGAGAGGTGGGAGAAGCCTAGTCTCAGAGACCACACACTCTCTGTGGAACCATCTCTGCTGTCTGGTTGTGCCCCTCACCTCAATGATCCATATGTGGAGGTCACTGTGGCTCTCGGTGGCTGGGAGGCCCTTGCTGATGTCCATCCTAGGCTGGGTGGGAGTGAGGGAGGAAACAAGAGCCAGAGTTCTCAGACCCTGGCTGCCTGTACTCTGGGCTCCAAGCGAGAACTCCCCATGCCTACAGCTCTCCAAAGCATCTTCATCATAGCCTGTGCCTTTTAGTAGGAGGGCCCTATAAACACACAAATGCCAGCAAACCAGCACAGGTCCTGCAGACGTGGGCATAGAGGCTTCGTAAACAGGGACTTGATCGTACTCTTGAAACAGGGCTGCGCTTTGTGGACAGGGATAGGCTTTAAACATAGGGACAACCTATGCAAACAGACAGGGAGCTAGAAACAGGCTACGAAGACAGTCACGGGATCTCCAGTCAGGATAGCCACTGTAGACAGTGATAGGTTATGCGGACAGGCAAAGACTCTGCTAGTAAGAACAGATTCTGCAGGCAGGGACAGACTCTGCAACCAAGGAAGGGTTCTTGAAATGAGACCAAATCCTATAGACATGGACAGGCTCTGCACACAGGAGCAGAGCTGCAAATAGGCATAGGTTTTCCAGACCTTTAGGAACAGGCTATGCAGAGACAGTACCTGCAGAGAGGGATAGGCTATTATAGAAAAAGGCTCTGCATATAAGCACAGGCTCTGCAAACAGGGACAGCTTCCTCAAATGAAAGGGATGCAACAGGCACAGTTTTTCCTGATGGAAGTGAATTCTGTAGACAGGGACCATCTGTGTGTATGAGGACAGCCTGTGCAAAGAGAAAAACTCTACTCAGGGAAACTCAGGCCGGGCAAACGAGCAAAGCTTATCAACACTGAAAAAAAAAATCCCTCTACAAACAAACAGTCACAGCTTCTACAGGCACTGAAGAACTTCGCAGACCAGGAAGGACTTTGCAAATGTCTCTAATCCTAAGACAGGGACTCTTTGCATGAGGGACAGACTCTGCAGATATGGACAGGTATATGGATAAGCAAGGTCTGCAAACAGGCACAGCATCTTCCATCAGAGACAGAGGCAGACTCTTGAAAGAGGCTGGGACAACCTCAGGAAGTAGACTTGAAGCCTTCCTACAGAGAGATGAGAGTGGGCTGGGCAAACATTCATGAGCTCGGCAGAGAGATCCAGGCTCTGAAAAAAGATATAGGCTCTGCAGAAAGGGCCTCTGTAGACAGATTTTGCAGATAGGGAGAGGTTCTGTAAGCCCACACAGGCTCTGCAAACAGACAGGCTCTGTTAACAGTGATGCCTTCTTCAGATATGGCAGGATATGCTGAAAGGAGCTGGCAGAGAAACCAGCTTTGTGATCAAGCACAGATGCCCCCGAAACAGGGCTGGGTTCTGTAGAGAGCCCAGGTTCTGCAAACAGGGGCAGGCTTTCTAGAAAAGGACGAGTTCTGGAACTAAATAAAGCTCAGTCCATAGGGACAGGATCTGCTAAAAGGTACACATAGAATTAGGAATAGAGTGGGCAGGTGGGCATAGGCTCTGCGAGTAAGGACAGAAAGTCACAGGTGCTCCCTGATAGACACGGCGACCTTGACAGTGATAAGCTCTTCATAGGAATAGGGCCTGCAACTGAGTTTCTATACAGAGAAATTCAGGCAAAGGTCCTGAAAAATGTCATAGACTGGACAAGGAGCGCTCAAGTTCTGCAGACAGAACCAGGATCTGAAATAGGAAAAGACTGCAAACGGGGACGTTGTCTATAGAAAGAGACGTTTGCTGCAGAGGAAATGGGTTCTGCTGACAGAGACAGGCACCGTGCACAGGCAAAGCTTTGCAAATAGGAGATGACTTTAGGCAGAAAGAGGTGTCCCAGACAAGGACAGCAGACAAGGGATAGGCGGTGCATGCAGGGCAGCTTCTGCGGTCAAAGCCAATGTCAAACACAGGGAAATAGGGACAGACTGTTTAAAAGGACCCAGGTTCTAAAAAAAAAAAAAAGACTGAAAATAGACACAGGCTCGGGACAGAAACAGGCTCTGCAGACAAGACAGATTCTGCAGACTCGGGACAGACTGCACACAAGGACTGAATCTGAAGCCCATGAGACACTGTAGCAAGTGACAGGCTTGGCTAACATGAGCGTAAACCAGGTGAATCAGGCATAAGCACTTTTAAATTCTTGAAACGAAGCTGAACTCTTAATACACACAGGCTCTGCAAACAGCGACTTCGCTCACTTGAATGTGCGCACTGTGGCTCTGAGTGTGCACAAGGAGAGAGAAGTGTGGAATGAGACAATCCGGGGAGGATCAGAGCTGCCGATTTTGTTACATCTCCACCATGTGACTCTCAACCCCAGGCTTCCTGCCCCGCTCCTTCAGAAACCTCTGTGGCTTTGCTCATTTCTTTATCTATGGAAGTTCTTCCTGCGTCTAACCTAAATCTCGTCAGCTGCAACTTTTTCTTCTTGCTGCGGCTTTGCTCAACAGACCCAGAAGTCACTTCTTTTTGAACTTCTCCTTCCTAGTGGCCCTGGTGTGGTGC